TCTCACTCTCACTCTCCTCATTCCTCATGCATGTCACTCTTCACATAGCCAAAGCACGTTTTCTCATTCATCTCACCCTTTCCGTGCGCCTCACAACTCCGCTCAGTACGGCCTTCCGTTGCCGAATTGTGGCGGCGGCATACCGAAGCCCCCTTGCTGCTGCTGCTGCTGCTGCCCCATCATCGGCATGGGCATTGGCATCGGCACTCCACCCATTGAGTTCCCCGGCCCCGCCTGAATCATCAGCGGATCGCCACCTGGTACGTGCACCGGCCCCGCACGACGCGCCGCCTCCTTCGCCGACTGCTGCGCGTCCGTCATAGACTTCTCTATACGTGAAACGCGTGCAGTGTAGTCCTGAACCGCCTGAATGAGATACGGCATCGCGAGGTCGGTACGCTTGTTAAGCCAGGCCTTCTCCAGCACCACCTGTGGAGTTAAGTAGTCATAGCAGGCGTACAGACACGAGACGAAGCACTCGGGGTGGTCAACGACGAAGAAATCAAGGAGACCCTCAATAACCTGCGGGTCACCGCTCTCTGCAGCAGTCTCAATGGCTTCCTGGTAAAGTTTATTCTCCTTAGCCACCGCTATGGCGTGTGAGTAGCGCTTGTTTCGGCGGTGCAAAAAAAGGGCAATCTTCCGGAACTCAAACAGCTCCATCTTTTCAAGCCGTGCGCTCAGCTCGACAGAGTCAAAGTTGTCGTACTGCTCCACCGAGTTGCGCAGCGCCACAAAGTCCTCTTCCTCCTCCATGTAGAGTTTGTTCAGTGCCTCGTTGACGCGGCGGGAGTTGCGATCCTGCGCTGACTCAAGGTAATGGCGGATGAAGTGAATGGGGGCAATCTTCGTTACCTCAGTCAGCACACGTTCAGGGTCGAGCTTCTTGAACATGCTGGAGAGGAAGTCATTGAGGAGGTCTGGATATGTCTTGATGTAGAAGCTGATAGAGTTGTACACTATATCGCTTACGCCGAGGTGGCCGACAACATCCTTGAAAATATCATGGTCCCAGGCATCTGCGTAATGCTGCACCATTGTGGAGGCGGCGGCGAGCCAGTCCTCGTTATTAACGTGTAGCACGCGCAGCACCAGCCAGTGATGGTATTGCTCGCATACCGCAATCATCTTGTGTGTGTTGATCTTCTTGGAGTACATATTCACATGCTCCAGCAGTTTCTCAGGTTTGTACTTCGCGAGGAGGAGTCCCATAGAGGTGAAGACGCCCATGTGCGCGCCAGGCGTGGCAGAGGCAGTCTTGAGCACCGACAACAACTCTTCCCAGAGACCTTGGTCCTCGTAGCGGTCCACAACACTTTGAATCAATTCGGCCTGTAGAACAAGGGGAACGGCGCACATGTTGGCTAGCTTAATCTCACCGGCCTCAATGCATGCAATGTTGACGGCCGTCCACGTCTTCTTCGACTGCGCCTTCTGCGCCGCCTCAACAGCAGCAGGCAAGTTGTTCATTTTTACCAGCGTCATCGCAAGTTTCGGGAAGTTTGATGCGATCGTGTAAAGCACTCGGGCAGAATCGTACAGACCGTCGTCAAAACACTTGTCAGCGACGGACTGGATCTGCACATTGTGTGTCTCCTTCAAGAAATCCTCCAGTTCTGTGAGACGACCCGTCTTGGCGTATGTGAGCACCAACGCCGTGTCAATTTTGTTGTCCTTCGAGCGTGACTCTGCACGTGCCATAGTAAGGTACTTGATGAGGTCGCCAAACTGGTTGTTGCGTTCCGCAGCGGCAGTCACTGCTTCTACAAATTCCGGGTTCTTTGCGCGAATCAACGCCTCAATCGCCTCATGCACCTCATCTGCCGCGAGAAGGTACTCGCCGAGTACAGTCCATACAGCAGGGGTATCACACTTCTGCGCGTAGGAACGACCACGTGGAATTTCCTTTAAATCACGCATCAGAACCGTTGCCGCCTCCTTCGGCATGTTGTGCTTGTCATATACGGTAAATGCAACTTCATGCATCTCTGCAGCACTGGCAATGTTAGCAATCTCCTTCGCGTCGTAGCTCTCGAGTGTAGAGACGTACTCCATAACCTTATCTTTGCGCGCCCGAATGGCCGACATGATTAGAAGGTTCTCAAGGAAGCGATTTTTCCTGAAGTGACCCCGCACCACAATCTGGTCTAACATGGATGTCAACTCATGCGTCATCTCTACGTTCATAAAGGCACGCACGGTGGTGCTCACCTCCTCACTGACGCGGGACTCCGGTAGCGCCGTCTGCTGCACTGCCTCTACGAGGCGCTCACGCTCTTTTGTGTCATCCTTCAGGACAGTGGACCAGAGATCCAGGTTCTGCTCCTGTACGAGATAGCGCGCGAGCTGCTTCCACATGCCATTCTTGGTAGTGAGCTCGATCAGCTCCTGACTCAAGTGGCCCTTACGGTATGCAATGTACGACAGATTGGGGTCACGATTCTCGCAGTATTTACCAAGAATAAGAGGCTCGTAGTATTCATTCTCTGTCAAGAACTTCTCCGAGTTGTTGTCAGTGTCCACATACAGCTTACCTAGCGCATTATGGAGAGCTGCATCGGTTTTCTTCTCAGCCAGACGCGCCTCCAACCACCCTTGAATGAGACGCAGGCGGCCCCGCTCCTCAACCACTTGCGCCAATTCCGCAATGGGGCACATGGTACCAACTGAATTGAGGATAGTCTTGATAAACTCTTCGCGTGCGTTACAGTCAAGAAGTGCAGCCACAACAGCTGGCGTCTTCCCTGGGCTCCGACGCTGCACATACTGCTCGATCAGGGTTTCGTTACCTGTCTCTAACAAGTAGTGCACGAGTTCATCAATAAAATTGTGCTGGTCACAAACATTGATAAGCGGCCATTGATCCGTTAGTTTCTTATTCTTCAAGTAATTCTTGGTACGTTCCGGATCATAACACGGACTTTCACGCGTCATCCGTTCAAGCTCCTGCGCCTGGCCCATCTCTGCCGCAGCTTCAATGTAGTGGAAATGCACTTCAGGGTCGCGCGTGTATGGTACAATGGCGCCAAGGTAGTAGTAAAGGATATCAAACAACTTGCGCTCAAGAAACAGCTCCATAAGCTTGTCTGCACCAAGGGCATCATTGTACTTGGTAGCAACCTGTACAATCACCTTGAAGTTCTGGCGATGGTTCTGCAAGAGGTCCTCCAAACAACGCATGCTATCGGTCTGGCTGAGCTTGCCAAAGAACTCAATTAACCACTCTGGGTTGAAGCTCTGTGCGTGCGAGAGGCATCGGCGTATGTTCGCAAGGTTGTCAAGGTCAGGATCTTGATTCTGCGCTGAAACGTAGCACTCAATGGCGCGCTGCGCCAACCCTGCCCGTTCACAGAGAGGTGCCAACTTCATACCATCATAGTGGGTACAGATACCACGTACGAAAATTTTTTCTGCCACGGAGGGATGTGAATGCTTCAAGTTAATTTCGAGAAGCTTTGTCTGGAGATCTTTGGTTGATTCACCATTATCCGCGCGAAGCACTTCTAAAATAAATTCCGTCGCCTGCTGAATCTGCTGAGCTGTGACAAACATATCCACCACCTCCTTCGGATCCAAAACCGGTTTCTCACTCAAATCACGGTGGAGCATAAGTGCTAAACTCACGGAGTTCTGCGGATTGACACGGATAAAGTTGTTCAAAATAACGCGCCAATCAGGTGAAAAATTTGCCCGCTTGCAGTACTCTACCGCTTTCTGTGTCTCATTTCGCTGCAGGAATATGTTCACAACCTTAGCATGTGCATCTGCCTTGTGGTAAATCTTAATTGCAAGCTCAGGTTCAGCTTGCGCTATAAGATCACCTAGTTCTTCACTTGGGGTCAACTTATTACTCTCGTACTGCTGCTTGACGTATGCTGCCCCACCTTTTGGCACGACAGCACGAGCCAGTTCAACCGACTCTTGGGAGTTCAGTGTCGTTTCGGCGAGAGCCAGCTTGAAGTAAACGGAAATGGCTGGCGGCTGGCCAGGCACCGGTGGGTAATGGACAAAACGTGCAAGGACTTCCGGCCCACGCAAGGCGTTATTAGGGGCGCGCAGACACGCACGTACCGCCTCCTCTATGTTGCCAACACGAAGGCTGTTCTCCAACTGTACCCTGTAGAGATCATCCACACCACCAAGGTTGGCAGAACTGGCGATACGCAAGGCAAGATCCGGGTTTTGCATTTGGTTCTTCACATAAGGAATAATTCCATCGTCGTTTGGTGAGACGTGAAAAACGGACCCCTGGTTGCTGACGCAAAGCAAACCACCTGTTTTACTGTATGGTGCACCGCAGAAAACGACATTGGGAGTCATCTGCTGCACCTTGATTACCACCGCAGTGAAGATATCCATCAAAACGGCCGTTCCACGGCTTGTCATGATTGTAAGCAACTTGTGCCGTGGCGACACGTTGAGGGCAACGGGGAAGTCACCGGGAGGGAACGGAATGTCCACAACGCGGCGCGTCAGTGTGAGGTCCATCTTTGGGCTTGTTGGCAACTCCATCAGCAGCACTTTTCCGCCCTGTTGGGGATTATTCCATGCGAGACACATGATATTGCAAGGACGCGGTTCTGTTGGCGTACTGGTGGAGATGAAGGTACCAGCGTGCCCCTCAAGTACGCGGCCACTACTATTCTCCACACTGTACAACTGCGTCTTTCCCACCATCCCCTCTGCCGTTCGCGCCACACCCGAGAGCATCAACCACTTGCGCTTCTCATCAGTGCGATAGTTGAGGATCTGCACCGACACGTCCATTTCTGGCGCGCGGTCGAAGACCCGCTCAGGGGCGGCATCGCTGGCGGCATCGAGGCTCCAATGGTATACCGCTGTCGGAGAGACAAGGCCGAGGGTGCGGTCATCGATCCAGCGCCAGTACAGCACGTCCTCATGGAAGACGACCACCTTGAGCCGCTTCGCTGCGTCAACGTCAAAGACCTGCAGGTTGCGGCCGCTGCGCAGCGCGAGGATTTTTGATTTAGGGTTCATAATCGCCGACTCTGCGTCGCGGATGTTGTTGCGCATACTCTCACGTTTCTCCAGGTCCACAATGACAAGAGAAGTCTGCCCGTCCGGCTGCACATCGCGTACGCAGACATACTTGTCACTCTCCAGCGTCAGTGTCTTAAAGGCGATTGTACCTGGGCGAAGTCCGCCAGTGACAGAGTTCAACTGAAAGACTTCGGTGGTGGATATAGGTGTGTCCATTGTATCCACTGGTGTATCTCAATGCCTCCTCAATCTGCTCGCCCGTTTATCAAGCTGTCTTTCCTTTTTTTTTTGCTGTATTTCTCTCACTCTGCTCTGTCTGAAAGGCAAAACACGCACGCACACACCCTCAAAGGCACACAATAGATCCTATAGATTTTCTGTTTCTATCTTTCTCTTTCTCTCTCGCTCGATTCGCTCCTGTAAGAAGGCGAGCATATATATATATATATATATATATATATGTGGCACACGAAGTGGGAGCAGAAAAGAAGAGAGAATGGAGCGAAAGTGAAGTCCTGCAAAACAACAACAACACCAACAGTTCCCCCCGTGTGGCGCACGCACGCATACACCGAGGGACGCCACCTAATCCCTTTTCATTCTTCTCTGAACGCCCTCATTCCTCCCTCTGCCCGCCGACCAACAAAAAGAAAAAAAACGTAGCACGCCACACGCGTTCTATTCAATCCCCGCTTAGGACGCTTGGGCAGGTGGAATGGGGAACTGGTTCCCCATCATATATTCTCTCACCCTGTCATCCTCGCGCACACACATGTCATTGTTTTTTTTTTTTTCTTCTCTCTTTGCCTTCTTTCGTTTGTTTTTCCGTGCTTGTGAAGTCCGATGCTTTCAGATCAATCCACTTCAGTGCACACCTTCCCCCCGCCCACCTCAGACAGACACACACACACACACGCAGCCGCAGGGAAACAGGCGGATAGACAGACAGAGGCTAAACAAAGAAAAAAAAAACTCTCACCGATAAAATCAACTCGCATGTCGGTGTATGGGCCGTCTGTTGCCTGCGTTCATGGTTCCACAAAAAAAAACCTTAATCCGCCACTGCTTCTGTTATTTTGTGCATCATGTCGATGGTCGCCGCAATACTGGTGACAAACACATACGCACAGGAGACTGGGCGGAAGTTTTACACGCAGCAACCGCCTCCTCACCTTCTTTGCTTCTTCTTGTATCCTTCTTAACGGCATGTGTACATCCATAGATACATGTATGCGGGTATGTGCAAGTGTAAATCCGTGATTGCTTTCGTACTTTCCATCTCTCTCCTTCTCTCACAATCGTTCTACAGTCACGTTTAAGGCTTCGTTCTGAGTTATTTATTCAAAGCAGTAGAAAACACAAAAAAAAAATTTACCCCTTTCCCGGCTATTTCTTTTTTTTTTGGTG